AGTCATCGACTTTAGAGAAAGAAGCCAATGATGTTAGTGGTCGGAGATCCTCGCTGTCTTTTACCACATCAACTGTATTCTCTTCTGTTTTCTGTCCAGAATTGTTTGCAGAAACAAGTGCTACTGATGTTAAGGGAATCGATGGTGAAGCAACATTGGTTGTAGGTGGAGGCGATAGGGGCGTAGATGACAGGGCCTGATGAAAACGCTGTTGGTGGGGACAAACGCAGGCACATGCGACATCAGTACAGAGACTGGCAACCGCCTTCCATTTTGAAGTTTGCTGATCTACCATTTTTGTTACCACCATGCAGACAAACACAGAGACACCCAAATACGGAAGGAACATCTCTATTGGAACCTTAAGCCAGTGGTACATCAGGTTTCTTATGAAAAAGAATGGAATGAATGAGAGAAAAAGAGGGGCGAAAAATAAGGAAATCGGAAAAAATCGTCAAGAAGAAAAATATTTAAAGTACAAAATGAAACTAGATCAGCGCGACTCGGTTAAAACCAGAAATAAGCCCACATGCAATCATGCAAATGTACATACATGAAGGTGTTACACTAGGATTATCATCTATGATGCTTATTATAGATAATTAAAATTGATGCATTTTTACAAATGCACAGGGCACTTGCGAGTGATTGGGGGCAAAGCGATAACAATAAGTAGATAAGAGCAGGTAGGGCATAAGGACGAAGAGTGAATTTTGTGTGCATTTATACTCATTATCGAGGGGTAAAATGAAAGAATAATGAAACTAGAAAATCAGCAGACTAAACACCCGCATTGTCTAGATGCCTAAAGGGTCATACGAGGACAGGCAAATTCGGTCAGAATAATTAAAGGATGGTGATGAAGAATCCGAACTAGATAGAAAAATAGCGATAAAAAGAAAGTGAACTGAGAAAAATGAGCCAAAGCATACATATTTATGACAAGAGAGAAAATGAAGAAGTGATTCATATTTACATTCCATATACCTGTTAATCAGATAACTTAATAAATAAAAAGGATGCTCTTTGAAAATTCACATGGCAGGTGGCACCTGGCCGAATCTTACTGCCTTGTTTTATCGTACAGGTTTAGGCCGCTTCTAATGTCCTATATAATGAATTTGAATTACATTTACTTAGGTAATAGCCTGCTCAATACAAATTATTGGGCAAATTCCAGGATTTTTTTAAGCTTTATCAATGAGCAGCGTCATCCTTAGCCTTAAGCCAGAAAAGGAAAAAATAATATGAGCAAAATCAACGATCTGATGCTAGAAAACTAAATTACAATAGCAGAAGAAGCAGTAGGGGATACTTCTTCGCAGTCTATATGGAAATATATTAAATTGCAGAAAAGAGAATAAATCAAGCCTGAACAGCGACCAAAGCATATTGGTTTTTATATAAAGGAAGAGTGATAATATGACAGTACTAATTGAGTTTAAATGTAAACTATAGCCTATGCCCAAAAATGATATGCATCGTCTGCACACAATCGGCAGAAAATTAGTAAATGCCTAAAATGATTCGTAATAATTTTTTACAATATTTCTTTTGAGTAATCTCCAGCTAACCGTTTTATTTTGTTAAGCTTTGACCAATATAAAACATGTATATATGAGATGTATTTATCATACTCGGTTTAAGGTAATTATGACAGTAGTCTCCACTTATGTAGAGTAGATATAGTCCAAAAATAAGCCTCGAAATACATCATATGGTTTTTATTTTAATAATATACTGAAGGTAAGTCTTCCTACTATCTATAGAATGAGCTGATTTAGTTGAAACAAAACAATTTCTGGTAGAAAGAACGATAATGTAGTTAAAAATTATGTTTTCTCACCTAAATACAACTACAATCAAATGATATAGCTACGTGAATGAGACTAATAGGTTGCTTTTAGGAGACCAACCCTAGTGTGCCAAATCCGAGACTATGGTAACTGATTCATTTGAGATCACATCTAAATGTAGAAATAACAGCATGGATACCCCAAGGCCATTGAACTATGAGCGCAAATCAAAATCCAAGCAAAACCCTTAATAGCTTTAGTTAGCTTATTTAATTTTCACACCCTTCGATTTATATTATAAGGTGAATAATAAAGGCCAAATTCAATACAATACATATAGTAAATAAAATTTATTTGAAAAATCCCTGAGAAAGAATTATACAGAGGCCATTTGTATTAGAAAGCAATTAAATTATTTTTTTGTGTGAAAACAAGGTCAAACAACTTCTAAATAATTTTTACTGATAAGCCCGGTTTGCAGATAAAAAAGA